TATATATACTTTCATATTTTTATTTCAACCTTGGTGTCTTGTTTACTCACTTGTGGGACTTCTTGCCCTCGGTACCCCCCGGGCCGGAGCCACAGTCATGAGCTTGGATGATGAAGGTGTATTCCTTCTGTAACTCACAGTCCACCAGGCCTCGTGCTCTCAGCTGACCCTCGCCAGACGTTCCGTTCAACACCACTGCCTCAAATGGAGCCTCCAGCCCATGGATGTTGAATGCACAGATCTCCCCTGGAGAGCAGAGAGGAAGGTAAAGAGGAGAGAAATACAATGAAAGGGTTAGGTGTTTATTACAGACTGTCATCTTGGGTTAAAAATGACAGTATCATAAAGAAGTTCAAGAAAAATGCAGGCACAGAAACCTTCCAGCCAGTTGTCATTTTCAGACAAGACATTGGTAACTGAACATTTGAGGTTTATTAATTTTGTGAATAAAGAAAACATTTTTCAAGTAGAGATCGAAATCAACAGTTGTAATGCAAATAGCTGCAATGGCGTATTTGTGTAAATCCAGTTAGAACTGGATTTACACAAATTCACACTGGAACGTGTTTTCTGTAGATTGTCCAGATTCAAAAAATATTTTTAAAATATTTCAAAAAGCACTTTACCCCATTATATTACAAAAAAAAAACATATTTAAAGTTCTGTTGAAAAAATAATGGACCTGCTAAAGCCCTTACACACACTTAAAACAACAAAGCCCTTCCCTAACATGGGGGAAGGGGGGGGGGGTTCTTTTCTTTTTACCTTTGTTTGATTTATAATGAGTAAAACAGCAAGGAAGTAACTGGAGAGTTGTATGTATCCCTGCAAACTAACACAGTGACCTTCAGACATGAACGTAAATTAATTTTGTATCTAACAAATGGCTTTGATGGTGTTTACTTTTACAAGGTTATTCTATAGTACACACAAAATACAGTAACTGTTTACATTTTTTGTAGTAATTGTTATGTTGTTCTTTGACACTGATAAAAAACACAGAAAACAGTTTAGGAAGAAACAGTGTAGCCATAAAGAAAAACTCAACTCAACTCCTTCAGGTTTAGGGCTCACTATTCGTCAAAAGATGTAAGACGTCGGATCTTGCTGTCATAATTTGAGTTGATCTGTTTCTCACAGACTGTTTATTCTCAAAAGACAACCTGAGGGGATAAATCCTGATTAGTCCTCCCACTGCAGCACAAGTCATGCACAGTCAGAATCATCACAGACAGAGCGATCGTCAGGGTGGATGTTTCCATTGAGCTGATAATGAAGGAGTTAGAGTTAGCTGCCATGATGCAGTTTACTTGGCATCTGAGAATACATTTCCTCAAAGGCATTTTTAATCTGAAAAGAGCTTCACTGAGTGAGAACTAATGTTGAGAGCTGAGTTTCACTTTCACTTTCACCTGAGAGCCTGCAGGAGTCATGGGCGGGGTGTATGGGGAGGGGGGGGGCACCCCGCCATGAGGAGGTTTGGCTTAAAAACACGTCCCAGGGGCATTTCTGGTCCCAAAAGGCGTTTCTGGTCCCCTCCAGTCGTTTTGCTCCTCAGCATGGCTGCCTAAAAATGCTGCAGGATTTCTCAAACATGCATGAATGAGTCAGAACAAGGCTTTGGGTATGTTTTTTATGAGAGTATAACATTATAACATGATATAAAACTCAAAAAAGTTGATTTTAAATGAAATTGTCCCTTTGACAAATTGTCAAATTGTTGTCAAGTCCCCTTTTTAAAATACAAACAATACTTTTCAACCTACAAACTTATTCAATAAAGGAGGAAAACACTAATTGTCCCCTTCATACTGGCTGAAGATACACTACTGACTCCATAACCTGCATGACCTTTTAGAACAAATCTGGGGCATAGCAAATTTGAAAAACATCCTTCAATGTGAAGGCAATCATCATCCTGCTGCACTTACACAGTTGACTTTTCCACATTTTGTTGTGCATCCCTAAGATGCTGTCCTGTGCTCTAGCCATGGCCTATATGCTCACAAAACTGTCTAAAACTAAGTCAGGATGGATTTAAAAGTTTCACATCTGTGCTACCTTGTTTCCATAACCTCACTATTACTATTGTTGCAGCATAAGAATTAGGTCAGGTTGGCCAGCTTTGCTTTACATTTTGATGACCAACTCATGCCAATGCATGCCGGCCCCACGCCATGAATACATTGCTACCATTGTTATCACACTCACTCACACTCCCCCGAGGACGCAGATTTTCTGCCACACTTGTTTGATGTTTGGTGCATGCGGTAAGTTATTGTGACTCTATCATGCTCCACCACACATAACTGAGTATCTGCTACATCCCTAATATGCAGCAAAATACCCTACCAATACTTTGCAAAGAGTATCTACATTCAGGCTTTTACACCATTGCAAGATCATCTTGCACTATGATGGGGCACAGACTCAGACAAATGTAAATCTTATATAGAGAAGAGGAAATGCTGTCCTTCATTAATTCAGATGTTGTGGAAGAAACTGAAATAAGGTAGAGAGCTACCACCGTTTGGGTAATAAGAATAATAACTATTGAAACTTTGAAGTTAGAAAAGTTTTAAAGAGCTTCATAAAATTATCGAGCTCATGTTACAACTTTCTTACTGTACTTTCTAATTGCTTTTCAAAAGGAGCACTAGAGCCCTTCCTGCTGTTTGCCCACCCACCACCTATGTGGTCAGTGCACCTGTCAGAGCAAATTTCAGCACAACTGAGTTACATCAAGCTCAAAGAAAAGTACCAGAGCTCAAAGTCACCCTTGAAAAGATATACAGAGGAAGAAAATCCATTTAAATTCTGTGTGAGCAACTGACAAGAGCAAAACAAAGGAGCCAAGAACATTTGACATTTATTAGAAGAAATATTTAAAGAATTGGTCCATTTGTGAAGCTGGAGATGAAGATTTGTTTTTCTTCTTTTTTTAACTCAGAGAACTGACGTCCCCTTGTGCTTCTGCTTGTGGCATTTCAGGAAATCACTTAACACGTCGGGCTCACACTCTGACCTGTGACGGCTAATTGCACTGATATCACTTAAACTAACAGCAAGGACTAAATTGGATTCCCAAGAAGCTTTGTGCGTGCATTGCTCCTGGCAATTTCTGATAAGAGCAACTTTATTTCCGACCCTTTTCATCCTGCTCCTGTCATAATGCACCCCACCCCCCCTCCACCACCTCACCCCCCTACCCCCAGCTTCTCCTCCCCCTGCTTGTCAGGACAGGGACTCTGAATTGACAATTTGCTTGCAGATGAGCTATGAGCAAAATGAACAAGAACGACTAGGAGGAGGAGTGGGTGGGAAAGTAAGTGAGAGAGCTGAGTGAACAATGTTGTATCAGAGTTAAATGGACCCCTACACCATGGAGAAGCAAGGCTCGACAGGATGAGCATATTCGTGAAATAGCATTGAGCAAACAGTGTGCGACGGAGAGTGACAGAAGATGCAGAGCTCTTCATGTGCAGCTTCTTTTAAAACTGTACCACCTGCAAAAAAACCAGCCAATGCAAAACCCATCGCCAGCTGAGAATTACATTCACTATAAGCAGGCAGGTATAAAATCCCCATCAGGATGACTACGCTGAGAATATGCTGAATAAGTTGAGCCTGTGTGTTTTGACACACTCTTGGTTTAATTGTAGCTGATAGGACAGCTGAGAGGTGTAGGTGTCAAGGTGGCCATAGGAGGGGGGACCTCCCTTTTGGCAGATTCAGCTAAACACTTAAAGAAGTCTGGCTAACCTCAGACATGTCATGAATACTGTGTTCCCTTTTAGGTCCACCTATCACTTCAGACCTGACAAGTGTTCTGCTACCTGCGATGAGTAAAAGATGGCTGGTAGGGGAGGAAGCGATGAGAGGGGGGTTGTGCTGGCCTCACTGGAAATGAACAGATGTTCAGCCGTTGGCGCTTGGCAGAAGCAGAAGATCACAGACACTAATTACTGCACTAAACTGTTTCCTTAATATGTGCCTTTGTGTCCCATCAGATCTTGAAATGGTAGATTTGTAATCAAAGGGAACTCTTCCTTCTGAAAGCGCTGGCATTTAAAACCCATGTGCGCAACAATAGTGCAGTTTTTTTCATCTGGGACAGGAAGCAGTGGACATGGTGTATTGCATCCGAACACACTTACATTGTATGTGTCAGAGCTGGCTATAGTGCAGTGAGTTGGTATACAGAGTACAGCACAATGTCATGTGTGTCCCATCAATACCTTTGTATATTCTATCAAAAGCAATCACACACTTAAAACAACAAAATGATGTGTTTACCAGTGTTGCAGTACTTGAGACAGGTCTCAAGACCACTTTTTGATGGTCTCAGACTCTACTGGATTTGTATTCAGTCTTGTCTCGGCTCAATCTTGAACATTGACGACCAAGACCAATCAAGACCACAACTGTAGTCCAATTTATTTAAAATCCTTGCTTTCATTGGATGGAAACATTTGATGAGTCATGCTTGGATTTGAATCAGTATGTTTTAGGACAGTGTTTCCCAACTTATATTCCTCAAAGCCCCACTTCTTTTTCTTCCAAGCCAAACTGAGCCACACTCCCTCATTTCCTTGAAATACTCCCCATCTCTCCGAAAGACCCATTCAACCTTCATAAAAATTAAAGAATAAAGTGAAATGTGAAATTTTTTTTGGAAAAAGGAAGCAATTTTGAGCTATATTGAGTTTCAATTATTCAAATGGACTTCTTGTGATTTAGATATTCAAACAATAAAATGATACAGTTTCTTCACAACCTCTGAGCCAGATATGTGTGTATGTATATATTTCTGCCAGTCATCTTCATACGAGGCTACATACTGTATGTCTGCTGTGTCCTGCTGTAGTGAGTTGTGCCGGTGAGATGGATCGTGTACAAACCAATAGGATGTTTGTACTTCACTACTTGACACCTCTGCTGTAATGTCAAAAGCTTTAGTCTTGTCTCTGTCTTGATAAATTCTGGTCTTGTCTTGGTCACGGGTTAGGGAGTCTAAGACTGAGACTGACACCATCAGTCTGAGGTTCTAACGCCCAAAGCTGCTTTCGCTGCCTGCTGTCAAAAGTACTGTAAGTAAAGTGGAGTGATAATGTAGAGAGTGGACATGTTTTCATGTCTTCCAACAAAATATCTAACTATCTACAAATTAGAAATTTTCTAAACCTCTGCAACTGCAACTTTTGGAGCCACCGTTAACTATCCTTAGAAAACAATAATGGAGCCAT